TGACGTAAGTTTTCTGACAAAACCTAAAGCTTTTTTGATACTAAGGTAGGCTTCACAGCTTAATTTCTTAGTTTAGCTTACTTTAGCACAGTTAAGTTAAAATTCAGGTGTTTCAGCATGGAAACCCAAGGGGACGAATCACAGAACTTTCATTTTTAGAGTTGCTTTAAAAAGCATTTTGAATTAGCAGTAATCCAAATTTGTCTTTTCCACTTACGTTACCGAGACAATAAAACACATTGCAGGGCTTTTTTGTTAGCACAAGAGAGGTTTTTCTAATTAGAATTCCCTTGGTAGTGTAAATTGTCCTTATGTAAGTTCACATTCCTTTAAAAGTGTGAGAAAATAAGTTCCACTTGTATAAATAAGCTTTGGTCTGTTGTAAGAAACCCTGCTGTGGTTACTCATTGGACAGCTGTGTCACTTGCTCTTAAACTCACAGGAGTACCTACATCTTTGTAGGTGTCACCAAACCATGTGATCTGGCTCCTTTTGTGTAAATATTTCTTTTGTTTGTGTCAAATGCCTTAGAAGTACCCCGCGCTTTCTTCCTTCCCCTCTTAGTAAGAGAACAAGGAAGAGTGCTGCCTCGGCGGTTACTTCCAGCTACCCCACTACTTGGAGCTGGGATTGCGCAGCCTCCCAAGTTTATAATGCGTTCCAGTTTTGCATACGAAAAAAAGGTTTGACTAGCCTGGATTACTGTTGCAACAAACTGTGCATTTACAAATTGTAAAAGACTGTTTATGAATTTTATTGGTATATGTTTACTGTGTTTTCCATGGAAGTCCATAGCAGGTATAGCCAAAGGCTAGTAGCAGTTTAATTGCAAGCTTTCCAATCCTCTCTAGAAAACAAGAGCTATTACACCATGTTCTCAGTATGTGCACACAAGAACTCCCAAGCAGGAGAGTGAAAGCTCTTGTGCCAGAGAGGGTCTAGGCCTGCTTTAGGCTCTGCACCTTCCCCTGCCCATCCATCTATTTATCCAGATGGAGAGTGGGTCAGAGGAAGTTGGTTTTTTTGACGCTTTCATGCTTTTTGTGTTCAAATCTCTCAGTGAAATAAAATGAGGGTGTCTAATGTGGAAAGGCTGTGTGACCTCAGAGTGGACAAGGAGGGAAATAACTCGGGCTTTTTTTTTTTTTTTTTTTTTTTTCCCCCTTTCATTTTGGTGGCTTGAAACTACTGCTTTCTACGGAAGTGGCTTCACAAGATGGGGTGTAAACGGACTATAATTGCCAGCTTTACTGTGATTTTAGCCCAAACCACCATCTTCTATAACCCTGCCTTAGTAGAAGATAACGGTTCACTGAAAACTGATAAACATTTGTAATGGCTTTGTGTACAAACAGTTTTGAAGTTAGATTTCCATTTACTTCCAGGATGTGTGTCCTGCGCTTGCAAGAATGTGGTTTCGTTAGAGCTGGTGAAGCAGAGGTGGAGGGAGAGAGGAGGAGTGTTTGAGCATTGGCCAGTGTCCTCCGTGCATACAAACTCCCGGTGGCACTGCCATACTCCTAGCCAGGTTCACCGAGGAATGCTAAAACTGTCGGTGGGGCAGGAGGGAAAGTCTGAAAGATGGTTTTCGCTTGTGTTTGTATTACGTCTTTAGTATTTACATTTTATAAATCCTCTAGTTCTCTACCAGAATTGCCAGAAAAAAAGGGCTGTATGGTTTTCACAGCTGTTTTTCAATATTTTCCAGACTAAAACTTGAACATAGCAAGCTGATTTATGAGTCACTTTGGATCAGTGTCTTAAAACAGCTACAGCCTGGCTTTTTGTTTTTCAGCTCTCCTGATTTCTGCTGAATTAGCAGCTCTATAGGCCCCAGTGGGACTGATTAAGAAGCTGTTGCTGGATTTGCATTTTAAAATTTGACTTGGGGCTCAGGTTTCTGACTTCTCTAAGGAAGAAGATGATAATTGTGACTAAGTGCTGTAAATTAAGAGTCTAAAAGTTATATTTATAAAATGTGTGAAGAAACACTCGCCCTCTCCCATTATTCATTAGGCCTTCCTTTCAATTTTTTATCACACAAACATTGATGTTCAGAGTTATGTTTCAGCTTTCTAACACAGACGTGTGAGTTATGAAAGATGGTCATACAAACGTAATGAAATATTGAAAATAGTTTCTTTCATAAAATGGTGTTCTTAAAGGGCCTCAAAAACTATGGCATGCTTTTTCAAGTGGGGGCAATTCTACTTAAATGTTCAGTCACTTCTATTAGAAATCTGAGGTGAAGAACAGGTATATATAATTTTTATTGTTATAAATTTCTTAATATAAATCTGGTTTCTGAAGTTTCTGAGTGCATTCACTGTTATGTCTTTCATGGCTTTTGAAATTCTAGTAGCAAAAGTAATTACAGAGGAGATTTTCTCCCCACCTGTAATGTTTTTTTAACAGACAAGGAGAATTCAGGAATGGAAAATGCACAGTAATAATCTTAGTGTTTCAACATTGTCAGTTCATTTCTGTGAGGGAAAAATACTGATTTGTTTTCAAACCTTTTTGTCATATGTGTTTTAAGATATCTTGAGAAGTGCATTGGACTGAAATGCAGCTTTGCACCAGGGTTGATAGAAGCAATGGATCTGAGGCATTTTTAACATCGAAAAATCTAAGTTTGAGTAACTTCTGTAGGCTTAAGCTTCACTTATGGTAAAAGACAAATATTTTAAATCTTGATTCAGTTCCAACCACTCTGACTTAAAAACTTGCAAGGCTTTTTTCCTGAAGTTTCTCATGCCACTAGTACTGAAATAATGTTTAGTAAAATACTTGTAATTTGTATTTTATCCAACAATTGGTAGACAAGCATGTATGCATCTGTGTGAAACAGGCAAGTCAGTATTGTCTGGAGGTTGGGTTTTTTGTTTTGCTTTGAGGGTTTTTTTTAACTTGTTGGACAACCTGCTGTAAGTAAACCAGGAATGAGGAATTTCTATGTATGTATTTTTTTAAAGTGGGTGCTATGTGGAAAATATGTGTATCTTTAGTGTTAAACAACAAACACAAAAACCGTAGCTTGAAACCTAACTTAAGTTGTTAACGCTCACGGTTGCCTTGATAGACTCCAGATGGATGTGAGCTTTAGCTGTGAGTGAAAGTGTCTGGCTCCAGCGTGGTGATCATGCACAGCAGTGGTTGTAATTGCAGGATTTTTATAGTTTAAGGACTCTGCCAGATATATATATTTTTTTAACATGTTACAACTCCAACAGAACAAATCTACTCATGTCTGTTACTGTCTGGTAGGTCCTTAGGCAAACATGTTTTAAATAAACCTGTTACACGGTTTTTAGATGAAATGAAGAAATGCAGGTTTTTAACACTAATGTTGAAAGCTCTTTGTTGAAATAATTACGGATTCCTAGGTCTCGTCTGAAGCATGAAGAACATATTAGGCACTAACAGCCATAAAACTTCACTGAATTTTCGGCTGTTTATTTGCATAGTTCTTACAATCCCTATAGAGCAAAGCCAAATGCTGAATTAAGGGTAAAAATTGTCTCTAGTCTGCTTTAAAGGACCAAGTTAGATTCTCATCTAGATCTTTGTAACAGCATATTTTTTCAGGATTTAAGAATGCGGTATGAGAATTTCAAATCTATGTAGCTAATACCTTCAGATGTTAAACAGAGGTTTCTCTTCAGTCTATGGCCAGATGAATGTTTGTACTAGATTTTTAAGCAGTGGCAGTCCTCTAACTCAAGTTGGTTAACCTCATTTACAGGAGAACTCAAAATCATAATGATGAAGCCAACATTTGTGGATTTTTAAAAATGTTAACGCCGTATTGGTTTTCCGTTTTTAAGAGGAAAATCTGTAGGCATTTAGACACCTGGAAGAAGGTGCCAGGTATATATTAGGTGCTTGAGCCCAGAGATGAGTTTCTGAAAACATCCCCTCTGGCCACCTGAGGGTGGTGGAGGGTGTTCCCCTTCTCTAGATGGCCAGTCCTCAACACCACTTTTTTGGGCTGGAAAATGCCTTTCGCACCTGTGAGTCTGCCCTGTTGAACACTCCTGTGCAGCCCTGGCTTGGGAAGCACAGCGCAGATCTACTCCCTGCCAGTGGCTGTGAGCCAGGTGCTGGTGCTGCAGCTCCACAGCCTGCTGGGCCTGATCCAGTTGGCTGGCTCAGAGCACACCTCGTAACCAGGTACTGGTGGTACCCCTTGCAATGCCTGTATGTGCCTGAGATTACTTTTAATGTTTGGTTAAAAAAATTAATAAATAAAATCACTGACTCCAGGGGAGGACAAAAGGGATGATGGAATTGTCCTGGCAACATTGGAACAAGTACTGGATAAAATGCCAAACAGTTGGGGGAGTCTAAAACATGGTTTTACTGTCCCCTGTGCTGCTGAAAAAACTCAGGTGCCTGGCTGGGTTGCAGCATTACACCTGTGTCTGAGGATATGCAGTGGTGGGTGCAGAGCAAGCAGAGTTCTCTATATTTGCACTTGTCCAGGGCTTAGTCACAGAGCAGAACACCTAGCACAGACCCTGCCCCTGCTTTGATTTAAGCCAATTCTGATCCATGTGCAGCAAGGATATGCTAATCATCAGGTTTCTTTGCTTTCAGAACTGTAGATGGAGAGTAGACCTGTCCATGGCAGTCAGGACTGTGTTTGACATGCTTAGTATAGGTACTGAGTCATGTTATCCAGAAAAAGTAAGGAATCCTGGGGTTCCCTCATAGATTCAACTTGAAATAATACACTTCATGCCCACATATCATGGTGATGACCCCAGGCGTGTTGGGTTCAGTGCTTAATTAGCATGAGTAAAAGTGTCATGAAGTGTGAGAAATTTATTTGCTAACCTGATGCTACAGCAACTCACAGTTGAATCTTGCTGATGCCTGCTTTGTGTCTGCATTGCAGACTCTCACTGGAGTGAGTTTAAGAACTCCTTAAAAATAGTGCCATTTTTGTTTGCTGACTTGGATAAACTCTGTAACAGTGTCCAGCGAGCACTTCGAAGATGGCTGAATTGGTGCAGGCCGAGGTAGTGACAGGCTGTAGTATGGGAGCAGAAAGGTGCGTGTTGTGGATGAGTGACTAAGGAGGGGGAGGTTTTCAACAAGGTTTTTTTCAACACGGTTAAAATAACAGTTGTGAGTCTGTACCTCTTGTGCAAATCTCTACAGATGTGCGAGTCTGAGTTTCTGTAATTAGCTTCTCTGACTTCTATTGTATGGTTATTCTTTTATTTCTGTGATGTTTTCAGTACTTCTGAGGCTACAGCAAAAGTTTCTTAGGACTCTGGTGTCAAATGTTTAAGAGGACGTATAGATGCACTGTGTCTGTAGGGAAAAGAATTTATTGACATTAATCAAGAAAATGTGTGGCGTTCTTAGTACCCTGGCTTGTGTTGTAGTAAACACTGCAAAGGTGCTAACAAGATTTTTTTATAAACAACATCAGTATATATTTGGGATCTTCAGTACAGAGTGGCAGTGCAGAGCTGAGTGCTCGAGCTACTTCAAGTGTGATTAAGTGCAGTATTAATGTGACTAGTATATAGACATCTTAAAACTCAATAGAATAAGGCTGTTCTATGTGTTTTCTTCTGATATTGCTTGTTTAAGATCCCCATTAAATTTGGTTATGTAGGAATTGAGTCCTGAATTGTGTGAAAGCATAAACCCAGAACTGACATTTATGGACAGTCCTCAACATGTCAACTTAGAATCCGTGCATTGCTTTAGAGAAGTGAGAAGAGTAAATGTTACAAATACTATGGTTGACTCAAAGAATGAGACTGCTGTGAGTATTGGTTTATGAATTTTCCTTGTAACCAAGAGGTTGCTTTAGCCAGATATTTTGTTGTGAAGAGATGGGGGAAAGGAGTTGTTGGTGTATATGAGCCAGAATCTTAAGATTTTTAACATGGGTCTTGCACACATCCCAGTGAACAGTTCTAAATCGTTCAGAGGTATAGGAAATTCTTTAGCACTGCTGGCAGTGATCAAGGTATTTATACACTTATTTATACCTAGTATACTCAAATGGGTTTCTATTCTAATTTTACTAATATTAAAAAACCCTCTTTTTATGTACTTGGAAACAAATGGTCACATAATTTGGATTTAGACTGCATTGCTTTTCCCCATATTTTATGGCAAAGCTGACAGGCTCTTTATTTTTGTAACCTCATAGGGACTTAAGTCACAACAAACTATCTTCAATCAAGACCAGTCTCTTGGATCACCTTCATAGTCTTCAGGAAGTGTAAGTTAATTTGTCTTAATTAAAGAAAAGAAAATCCAAAAAACCCAACCAGTGTTTGTGTATGCTAATTATAGCTATTTCTCTAGGGATGATCGGTTGAACAACAAAGATGTTTGCTGTTCTGATATTTTATGTTAAGTGAAACTGGAATTATTTTTTAATTCTGGTCTGACACTGTTCAGCAGTTTAGCAAGTCCAATGTACATACTTTTGATTTAACATCAAAGCTGACTCTCCCTTTTCTAATATTAATAGGAAGTTGAACAGCAATGAACTGGAGATCATTCCAGATCTGGGACCAGTCTCTGCAAATATAACTCTTCTGTCTTTGTAAGTAGATCCTACTTTTGTCCCTAGTTAGTGGAACTAACTCTGCAGGGTTCATAGAAATACATGCATTACAGAGATTAAAGTGAAATAATTGGATATAGAACAGCTTGTGGTTATGAAGTTGATTATGTCATATTGTTTAGCAGGTTGTTTAAAACGTGTATAATTGAGTTTAATCTTTGTAGTTTTTATGTTTCCTTCAGATACAAAGACTGCATTAGAATTAATTTATGTTGTGGTAGTGCCCAGAAGCCTCAGCCCTGTTGTGCTAGGCACTGTACAAACATTAGTAAATGTTACACAAACTTGTACAATGCGGACTTTAAAACAAGAGTTATACTCTATCATTATGCATCTTGGCTGAAATCCCACTTGTGTTAAATCATGGCAGAATTCCATTAATTTCAGCGGGCATTGTGGGGAAATCCCCTCGAGATGCAGCTTCAGGACAAGTATCTAGGTTAGATGTTTTACCAATGTCTTTAGAATGTCTTTTTAAGCCCATTCTAATGTGTGGTGCTTTTTTTGTTTGTTTTTTTTTTTTTTAATGCTGCAGTTAATACATATAATTGTGACACACAATTATGTTCATTGTTTTGTTTGGGAGAAATTAGGTTACTTGATGTTGCATCTGTAATAAAAGTATAAAGTTGTAAAAGGCATATAGAGCTCATAACCAAACCAGCTGATTTTAAAGGAAAATTTATTCCAGAGGTTTTCACTTGAAATCAGTTTGTTTTTTTTTTTTTTTTTTTTTTTTTTCCCCCGTGATCTAATTTCCCTAAAATGTTGAAGGAACTCCTAACAAAAATAGTTGCTATCATACTGTTAATTGGAAAAAAGAAGAGGAAGGTTTTTCATGTGTGAGATTTGTGTTTTATCAATGGGAATCCAAAGCTAGTAATATGTAGCCCTCTGGTCAAATTCTGCCCTTGAATACAAATTGCAAGTTACCTTTCTTGAAGAAGCCTGAAGGGTTAAAACAATACAGTAAACTTTGGAAAGCTGTTCAGTTAATTAAACTGATCACTATTCAATTGCTTGCATCTGGTGATTTATAGGGGTTTGTTTTTACTCTAGGTCCAGGTCAGCTAAGTCAGCTGGTGCAGCCGCTGTGTCTGGACTGCTCTGTTTGAATAAGAACTAAGTGACATTTGATACTGATGTGGTTTCTTACAGATCAGAGTCAGGAAAGAATGAAAGAAAAAGCAGATGGTGTCTGACAAATAACTATTTAATTTAAGTATATCTTCTATTTATTATTAGTGTTGACATTATTTTTACACTGGCATAGTATTCTGTAGTAATTCTGTGTAAGTATTCTGTAGTAATTCTGTGTAAGCACCTATTCAACTATAGAATTTTTTTTTTTGTTAGCCACATTGGTAAGGTTCTTTTTACCACAAGGTTGGAAATATTAACATAATAAAGTGGTTTACTTCCTCCTGCCTCACTTCTGATGAACAAAGTTGAGAATTTGTCTTAGCATCTCCTCCAGTCTTTCTCATGGAAGCTTAACTAGTTTGGATGAACTTAAAATCATCCTTCTGCAGCTGTGGAAAGATTTTTGTATTCCTTTGAGACAATTAATGAAAATAAGTCCCTACTGGATTAGTCGTTCCATATCCTTAGGTCACTAGCTTGCTTCATTTACTCAGGTGGTCAAACATGGAAAAACCTTTGTTAGATCTGTGCTATGCACTGTACATACTGACACTTTAAAGGAGGGGGAAAAAAAAAAGTAAGTATTGCAAAAAGTTGTTATCGTGCTACTAATGCAGTTAAAGTTGGTCTGGTTAGGTGCTAGCTTGTTCTAATTTTTATTACTTCTGTGTGGGGTCGGGAGATTATTGAATGTAAGTGTGCTCCAGCTGAGATTTAATACCTATTCTATGACCACAGTAGAGAATCCTTGAGATTACTATAGTAGAAATAATTCACTAAGTACTTTAAAGGTTTTACATTAACTTACGAATGTCAGGGTATAATAGTTAAGACAATTGTTTGTTCTATGTAGATCTGTTTTGATATGGAACATAAAATTAGAGAGTGTTACTGCATTGTTCAAAAATAAAACACCTTGTTTCTTTTGCAAAGGTTTCTCTTTAAAACACAGAATACCATAATAGAATCATTTAGGTTGGAAGGGACCTTTAAGATCATCAAGTCCAACTGTTAACCTAACACTGCCAAGTCCACCACTAAACCATGTCCCTTATGTGCTACGTCTGCACGTTTTTTAATGACCTCCAGGGATGGTGACTCCACCACTTTCCTGGGCAGCCTGTTCCAATGCTTGACAACCCTTTTGGTGAAGAAATTTTTCCTAATACCCCGTCTAAAGCTCCTCTGGTGCAACTTGAGTCTCTTTCCTCTTGTCCTATCACTTGTTACTTAGGAGAAGAGATCGACACCCACCTCACTGCAACCTCTTTTCAGGTAGTTGTAGAGAGTGATAAGGTCTCCCCTGAGCCTTCTTTTCTTACAGGTTGGAAGTAATTTATGTGAAGGTGTTAAATCTCATTTTACAGAAAATAATATAAATAAAGAGGAATAAATATACACTAGTTGTCTGGAATAAAACTATGTGTAATGGTATTGTAAATGGACGAATATTCACTCTAATGATACTTTTTCTTTTAGAGGTGAAAAAATACGTTCACTTATTTTTTCTATGTTGGATGTTATTTGGAGGGGTTGAATCAAACTGAGTTAACATATCTAAGTCACATGAAGAAAACACATATGGAACAATTGGAATGTAATTTTTAGAACAACTCTTCAAAGAATAATTGTACTTGAAACATCTGATGACTTTCTTTAGGATTTTAAACTTTCATATGAAAGGAGCTTGTGGAACCTTTCCAAAAGAAACCACTGTCTCTTTGATGAGTCTTTGTTCTGACTTTCAAATAATAGCAGAAAAGAGGGTGCTAGTCTTCTGAAACTTTGATTACATTCCTTATGAGATACATATACATTGGTTCAATACTATCAGTTGAAAAGTCCGTCTTTTTTTCTAAGGAGTCTTCAAGGAATGCTGTGGAAGTAGTGCCCTCCTTTCTTGCTAAAATCTTAATTGTTGAAGAAACTATGTACTTGCAAGAATTTTTTTTCACTTCTTAGTGCTTGTCAGTCAGATTTGGAGCCTTAGAATTTTACCTGTTCTGAAAGAATTTTCTTACCCTGCAAAGGAAATTATACTGCTGGTATGTGTATGAATAATAGTGCAGGTATTTCCATACAGCACTGTATGTCTAAGTTCTTTGAATAGTGTAAACAAGCATGGGTGGATTATCGTGTTAGTGTAGTTTCCATTTCTGGAGCTACTTCATTTCTAGCTATCTAATTGATACTTATCTAGCATAGATATTTACATACTGTTAAATTAAGCAGGGTAAACATACTCAGAGCAATAGATGTTCCCAGTCTCATGCTCATGGTCTGTCTGTAATGTGAAACAACAATGCCAACATTTTGTTTTTATGGATGATAGTTGAGAGTTGAACACCATGGGAGAGAAAAGTATCAGGCAGGCACACACCCCTACCACCCTGGGAAGACCTTATGTATGTGTGAAGAAGTATACAAGCACATGCAGGCACACTAATTACATGGCTGGAGATGCATATATGATTTTATTCATGTGTGTATGTATCTTGCCACATGGCATAGGAGAGCTTCTGAGCCTCCTGGGAACCTGGAAACTGCTGTGAACTAAATGTGTACTTCGGGCTAAACCTGGTCAGGAGGCCTTAGGTTGTGAAGCTGTGATGGCTTGCCTGACACTAACAGATGTAATACATTCTGGACAGAGCAAAGAGGATTTATCTTCCCTACCCTAATTTCTTGACAGTTTGACATAGTAAGTATGAGTTCCTAACTGTAGATCCTCCTCAGGGTGAGTGGAGAAGAAAAGGCGCTCTCTGAGGTGATTTGTCTTCCCAAAGATAATTCAGATGACTTTCCTACTGCAGTCCATATCAGATGTCTATTTTAAACTAACTTCTACATGTCTGAAGATAGGTTGTCTTTGAAATGTCTAGCCATTGTACTTGGGCATGCCTGTCTTACAGTGACGTTACTTGCAAAGGTCTGATTGCATCTTTCAGCATGGTTGACCATTTAAGTCAATTACTTGAAATTGAAATTGCAGCATGTTCTTTTTTTGATCTGCCAGCCAGCCCTTCTCTCTGTCTTCTGTGAGAGAAGGCAGGAAAACAGCAGTTCATCAATGCAGCCATTGCCAGAGATTGCCAGCTCTCCAGTCAGCACAGTAGCTCTAGTCAGGAGGCCAGGTTTCCCCAAGTACCAGACAACATAAGCTTTTGGGGAGAATACTGGATTTAACAACTGTTTACCACAAACATATAATGTACAGATGCTGCACACAGTAATGTAGGTGTATTTCACTATCCCTAGAAGTAAAATATGTTAGATGTTTCCTAACTTGCATTCCTGAAGTGCTTGTCAGAACAGTTAAATTTAATGTAGAATTGATTTAACTGGTTGTGGTAGAAAATTCTTCAGTTCTGGGAAAATGAACAAGTTATTTTTTCATTGTTTCTAGATAGGTGGATTGCTTTTGTGTAAGGTAGAGAAATGGGCACTAATGTCCTTGTTCCTGGAGAGCAAGCAAAGGTTCTGAATTTGGTTCCCATGCTAATGGCATTTCTTATCCAACAGGTACCAGTCCTGTCCTATTTATCCTGAAAATCTGCTAGAACCTGTACTGTTAATACATGAGAAGAAAAGTAGTATTGGCTTTTAGGTCTGTCATTCCTGTAAAGTTTTGTACCTAGGTTGAATCCAGAAATAGATTGAAACCAAGTAATATAAGTACAGTAGCCTTGTGTAGAAGTCCTGTGTGGTGTTTAACTACCAACTACTTTTTGCATAGTTTGCATACATTACTTTAAAACTCTACGGAAAATATTAATTACTTTTAGTGTGATTAGTGCTTTGTAAGGAAGACAGTGGATTTGCAAATGCTACAACAT